CTCAGGGACATTTTGGATCATGCCAGGGATGTTTTGGAGGAGCTCTGGGACTTTTTTGAGCAGCTCAGGGATGTTTTATGCAGCTCAGGGATGTTTTAGAGCATGTCAGGGACATTTTGGATCATGTCAGGGATGTTTTGGGACAGCTCTGAGATGTTTTGGAGCAGCTCTGGGGGTGTTTTGGAGGAGCTCTGGGTTGTTTTTGAGCGGCTCAGGGACGTTTTATGCAGCTCAGGGATATTTTAGAGCGTATCAGGGATATTTTGGAGCAGCTCTGGGGGTGTTTTGGAGCCTCGGTGGTGCCCTGAGCAGTCTGAAGCAATCTGGGGGGTTTCAGAGCTCCCAGGGTGTGTCAGAGCCTTTCCCAGCTCTTTGCTGCTGCCCCGAGCAGTTCGGAGGAACAGTCTGGAGCCATGCGGAGGCACGGCGGGAGCTGGGAGGGGATTCTGCACGTTCAGGCCCTTTGGGGCGGCTTAAAGGGGTGGGGAGGGGTGGAGGAGGCTTAGAGGGGTGGGGAGCAGCTTAGCAGGGAGGTGAGGGCGTTTAAGGGATTTTGGAGCCGTTCGGANCCCAGCCCTGCTGTGGGGACACAGGACAGGGACCAGGGCAGGTGGGACATGGGGGTGGTGGCCTTGGTCATGGCCAGGCTTTGGGGATGTTCAGAAGTGTCACTGGCCCATGGAACCACAGGAATGTTGTGGCTGGGAAAGTCCTGAGATCATCAAGTCCAAGCGTCCCTCAGCACTGCACACCCATGTCCCCAAGTGCCACATCTATGTCTTCAGATGGTGACCCCACCACTGCCCTGGGCAGCTGTGCCAGTGCCTGACCACCCTTCCCATGAAGGAATTTCCCCAATATCCATTCTAAACCTCCCCTGGCACAGCTTGGGGCTGTTCCCCCTTGTCCTGTCCCTGTTCCCTGGCTGTCCCCTCCTGTCAGGAGCTGTGCAGAGCCACAAGGGCCCCCCTGGGCCTCCTTTGCTCCAGGCTGAGCCCCTTCCCAGCTCCCTCAGCCCCTCCTGGTGCTCCAGCCCCTCCCCAGCTCTGTTCCCTTCCCTGGACCCCCTCCAGCCCCTCCAGGTCCCTCTGGCCATGAGTGGCCCAGACCTGTCCCCAGCCCTGGAGCTTTGTCACCGTGCTCAGCCCCCCCAGCTGGGTGGAAGGGCTGGAGCTGGGCTGGGAGCAGCTCTGGAGCTGCTCTGAAGGATGCAGACACCTTCAGAGCTTTGGGACTTTTCTGGAGCAGTTTTGAAAAGGCTGGAGAGGTTTTAGTCCATTCAGATCCCTTTTCAGAGGAGGTGCAGAAGAGCTGGAGCGCTTTGGAGCAGCTCTGATTATTTTTTATGAGTTTTGGAGTTGTTTCAGGGTTGCCTGTGCCCCTCTGACGTCATTCAGAGGGGGTTTAGGGTAGTTGCAAACTGAGTTTAGAGATATTATTAAAAATTTTAACCCTTTTGAGAGGCCCATGGAGAAGCTCCAGAGGGGTTTCAAGGGCCTTTTGGAGGCTGTTGGGGCACTCGAGGAGTTTCACAGCTGCACAGAGGAGGCTTGGAGAGCTTCAGAGCTGCCAGGAGAGCTTCCCTATGATCCGTTCTGAGCTATTTCGAGGAGTTTTAGAAGAGTTTGGAGAGCTTCAAGTGCTACTTCGAGGCAGTTTTGGCATCTTGGTGCCTTGCAGGGCTGGTTGGAGGAGCATGAGAGCTGTTTGAGCAGCTCAAGTGGTTCAGTAATGGCCAGAGCTCCGTCCTTCCAGAGCCTGAGCTGCTCAAAAAGGAGATTTACAGCTCCTTGAAGCCCCCCAGCAGCACAGAAATACCCCCAGAGCTGTTTACCTACCCCATCTCTAGAACAGCTTCGAGATGGAGAGGTTGAGATTGCAGAGGAATTTTTAAAAGGAAGTTTCAGAGGTGTTTAGGGAAATCTTTGGTGCACTCTAGAGCTGCTTGGAGGGTGCAGAGCAGTTGGGAATGCTACAGAGGTGATTTACAGATGCTCAGAGATGCTTTGGACGTGCTCAGGGATGTTTTAGGGCAGCTCAGGGATGGTTTAGGGCAGCTCTGGGAT